ATGAAAGTCAGGGACTTCTTGTCTCTTGCTGCTTTAAGGATCTTCTCTTTATCTTTGGAATTTGCAAGCTTCACTATTAGATGTCCAGGTGTTGAACGGTTTTTATTGATTTTGGGGGGGGGATCTCTCTATTTCCTGGATCTGAATGCCTGTTTCCCTTCCCAGATTGGGAAACTTTTCAGCTAGGATTTGTTCAAATACATATTCTGGCCCTCTGTCCCTTTCGGCGCCCTCGGGAACCCCAATTAAACGTAGGTTTTTCTTCCTTAGGCTGTCATTTATTTCCCTTAATCTGTCTTCATGGTCTTTTAATTGTCTGTCTCTTTTTTCCTCAGTTTCCCTCTTTGCCATCAACTTGTCTTCTGTCACTCACTCGTTCTTCCACCTCGTTAACCCTCGTCGTTAGGACTTCTAGTTTGGATTGCATCTCATTCAATTGATTTTTAATTTCTGCCTGATTGGATCTAAATTCTGCAGTCATGAAGTCTCGTGAGTCCTTAATGCTTTTTTCTAGAGCCACCAGTAGCTGTATAATAGTGCTTCTGAATTGGCTTTCTGACATTGAAGTGTAATCCAGATTTTGTAACTCTGTGGGAGAGAGGACTGTTTCTGATTCTTTCTTTTGAGGTGAGGTTTTCCTTCTAGTCATTTTGCTCAGTGCAGAGTGGCCAAAAACAAGTTGTATTGGAACACGGGGGAGTATCTTCTGAATCTGTAGACTTTAAGTCCCTTGACTTCCCCTGGAACTGGTCCGTCCAGCTGGTCTTCTGGGGGAGGGGCCTGCTGTGCTGATTTTCAGGTGTTAGCACTTGGGGGAGCTGCTCTGTCCTTGCCTGCTGCAGGGCTCAGCGGGGGTTGTTTACCCCGTGAGGTCCCAGGAGGAACAGCCGCAGTTGCTATGGCAACTCTGGAAGCCTGGATTCAGCCTCCACAGGAACTACGGGGCTCGGGGCTCTCGGTTCTCCGTCCGCAGGGCCTGGATGCTCCGGGGCGGGGCCGCTGATCTGCTCAGCTCGGGGCAGGAGCGTCCTCGCTGTCCTGGGCCCTCCCGGCCTCTGCCTGTCCCGGGGGAGGCCGGATCCTGGGCTGTGTCCCGGCGCCCTGTGCTCCGGGGCCTGCGCTGTTGGATTCGCGCTCCCGCCCCGCAGCCCCCTCCGCGGAGCCGCCGCCCGAGCCCCTCCGAGCTGCTCCGGCCCCGCAGTGCGCGCTGCATCCCTTAGGGAGCTCGGTCCGCTCTCCCGGGGCGCAGGTGTCTGTTAGTGTCCCCGGGAGCCCGAGGGCATCCCCGCCCTCCTGGGTCCTGCTCTAACTCCCTGCGGGCCCCTTTCCGCCCGGGAAGGTTGGTGCAGCTCCTGCTCCTCCGGGACGGGGCTCTCCTGTCCTGGGGACACTCGTCCCGGCCTCAGCCCGGCTCTCGCGGGGCCCCTCCCCCTCGGAGGCCTTTTGTTTCTTTATTTCTTTTTCCCCATCTTCCTACCTTGATAGAAGCGCGAACTCTTCTCACTGTAGCATTCCAGCTGGTCTCTCTTTAAGTCTCAGGCCAAATTCGTAGATTTTCAGGATGATTTGAAGGTTATCTAGGTAATTTTTTGGGGACAGGTGGTTTGGGGACCCTACTCTTCCGCCGTCTTGCCCCTCCCTCTAATATCGATATTCTCAAACTGAATTTGTTTCCCTTGTCATTCCTTCCTTCATCCATTCATTAATTCAACATTAGATAGTGCCAGGCACTGTTGAAGTGCGTAAAACAAACAGAAGTCCCTGCCCTGGTGAAGTTTATATTTTAGGAAAGAAACTGATGGAAAACTAATGAAATCAGTGAAATATGCAGTAAATGGAATGGTGGCATAGTGCTAAGAAAAGAATAAAGCAGGAGAGAAGAGGGTACATAAGAGGGAGTGGGAGTTCAATTTTAAATAGGGTGGTCCCGGAAGGTCTCAATGGAAACATAATATTTGAGTATGGACTGGAAGCCAACACGGGAGTGAGACAAATGGTTATCAGGCGGAGGACTATTCCAGCAGAAGGAAAGGCCAGGGCACAGGAAATGACCCGCATATTCCAGGGACAACCAGGAAGCGCACAGAGGCTGAGCAGAACAGGGCTGGGGGCAGGACAAACACCAGGACCTTTCCGAACAGAAGGGCGAGAGCCAGGAGATCACTAACAATTTGTAATTTCCAGCTTCCAGGATTCAGAGTTAGGCTGGAGTAATGTCTTCTTGACTTCAGCTTCTATTTATGTGTTGGGCTTGGTATTCTACATCATCTTTGGCAGAGCAGAGGTCCAGGACTGGGCTACAGGGCAGACACCCAGTTCTGAGCAAACCTGATGCCTTCCATCCTCATGCTCAGCCATGCACCGTTTGCCCCCATGGACATTCCCTCTTAGTACCTGCTTCACTGGATAGCCATTTAATTTGAAGACGCTTTGTTTCTAATATCTTCTCAGAGAGCTTGGCTGCGTAATCCTGAAGGTTCTGCCTGCAGATTTTGCAATGGTGGGTGGCAGCTGGGGAAGCCTAGTTACTCAACTGAGGGCTCCTGAAAGCACAAGTGTGTCTGAATTTTTATGTGTTCCCCACTGTGCCCACTATTATTGTGACTTCATAAGAAACACATATTTGGTCTCTGCCCCCACTTTCTGGCACAGAGCTCCAGAATTTAAGATAAGTGAAATTTCAGATTTCTTGAGTGAGAGATGATAGGAGCACCTTTTGTCATAATATTTGGACTTGGTCCCTGGTTCCCGACACAAGCGCTTCTAAGACCCTTGGAATTTCTGGAGTGATGAGAGTGCCTTCCGTAGTATTCTATTGGGATGACAGGTGGCTGGGGACCCACCCACAACTTTAGGAGGGGTGCTGGTCAGCAGAAACACCAAGGCATGATTAGAAAGTTAGAACTTCTAGCTCCACCGTCCCACCTACAGGGAGGAATGAGGGGCTAGAGATTGAGTTATTCGTCAATTGCCACTTAACTAAATCATGCCTATGCAATAAAGCCTCTATAAAACTTTAAATGATATGGTTCCAAGAGCTTCTGACTTGATGAGCATCAGGAGGTGCTGGGACAGTGGTGACCTGGAGAGGACAGGGAAGCTCTGTGTTCCTCCCAATATTCCTTGCCCTAGGCATATTTTCCCTTTGCTTATGATGTAGTAACAGTAAGCAAACTGTTTTCTTGAGTGCTGTGAATCATTCTAGCAAATTACCAAATGTGAGGGGGGTGGGGTCATGGGAACCCACAACTTTGAAACTAAGTCAAACAGAAGTAGGGGTACCTCGGGCACCCATGACTTTAATTGGTGTCTGAAGGGGCACCTGGGTGGCTCATTCAGTTGGTCATCTACCTTCAGCTCAGATCCTGATCTCAGAAGTCCTGGGATTGAGCCCTGTATCGAGCTCACTGCTCAGTGGGGAGTCTGCTTCTCCCTCTCCCTCTGCCCACAGGTGCTCTCTTCCTCTCTCTATCTCTCAGATCTTTAAAAAAATAATAATTGGTTTCTGAATTTGGGGGCAGCCTTGTAGACTGACTCCTCAACCTGTGGGAGCTGCACTAATTCCAGGTAGTTAGTGTCAGAATTGATTTCTATTATAGGTCACACAGCTGGTGCCCACAGAGAATGAGAAAACTGCTTAGTGTGGAAAATCTACACATTTGCCATCAGAAGTGTTGAGTACAGAAAGCATCTTCTTTCAGTTATCCTGGTAAAAGCATCAGGGACCAGAGGACAATTTCTTACCAAAGCAAAAAATGAAGCTGGAACCAGAGAATCACAAGAGGAATTGTGTCCAAACATCCAGAAGATGAACCCTGAGAGCTATCTTCAAAAGAAAGCCCCCCAAAATGGAAGTCGTAGTGTATACACAATCCAGTGACCCAGGCCAGGAGGTCAGAGCAAGTCAAGGTGCTCTCACATCAAGTGATGCGGGAAAATGAGACCATTCTGAGGTGTGGCAAAAGTAAGATGCCCCAGTGTAAAATACCAAGGAGGAAAAGACAATGAAGACTGAATCCATCATGTGTAGAGAAATGCACAGGCTTGCAGCTAATGCCAGTGGGGTAGGAAACTTCGACCATTTCAGGTAACTTGCTTTCTGTAGATGCTGGCATTGGAACCAGAGCTGCCTCTATCACGCATGTAGTGCTCGGGCATCCCTGAGACTCCACTTTTCACAACTCCTTCTCTCTGGCCATCTTGACTCTGCCCCGCATCTGGTTTGTGAATCCATATAGATCCCTTGCACTTTACTGAACAGACATTGTCCAGCATTCTTTCTATGCCCTTGAACATCTGTCTAAGCTGCCACACCTCCCCCGGATGCCCTTTCTCTGCTTTGACCACTGCAACCCTGCCTGCCTTCAGCAAGGCTCTCTCAGCAGTCACCTCACTAACTTGACTTTGCTTCCTAAAATGTGTGTTGAAGACCTACACTGGCTTGACCCCATTCCAAAGTCTGGAGAGTGTGTACGATGTGTCCTCTTTCCTTAATCCCCCAAATGGGCAGTATTGGCACCACAACAAAAAAGCAAAAGCATTGAGCGCTGAGTATTAATGAACATATAACACGGGGCATGGCAGAAACCAAAGTCAGATACAGCTTCAGGAAGGACAACATCTCAGGAAGGCAGATGACACAAATGTACATGGATGACCACTGTGGGAAATAAAATAAAAAAGGGAGACACCAGTTACAAGCATGGATGTTAAGAGCACCAGCTCCGGTGGGAGGGGGAGAGAGAGCCACCATGCCCACGGGTTCAACTGAGCTGAGACTTGAAGGACCGATGTTAACAGATGCAGGAGGCAGACGGGGAAGAGCACTGCAGGAAGAGGACACAGCACCAGCGAAGGTTTGGTGACAGGAAGGAGCAACCCAGTATGGCCAGAGCACAAAGAATGTGCGCTGTGTGGTTGGTGAGGAGGCTGTGAGAGTGGGAGGAGTGAGAACACATGATGGGCCAGGAAGTGTCTTGGTCTTTCATCCCATCCTGAAATCAAGAAGACAAATGTTAGTTGAGGGGTTGTAATCAGGGTCCTAGTGTTCCAAGGTTTTTGCACGAAGGAATAAGATGAAGTAGGAGTCCACTATGTAGTCCAGGAGCAAGCACTGGCCCCTGAAGGGGGTGGTGGTGGAATGTGGTGAGGGGTAAATGGATCACTTGCCGTAGGAGATGCACCTGACAAAACTGGCATACTGAATGGGGAGCAGGTGTCCCGCGGGACTCCTAGGTTTCGGTTTGCTACTAGATGGGTGGAGATGCCACTGAGGCAGAGATCACACCCCAGTGAAGATGACAAGAAGGAAAGTAGATGCACGGGAAATCCTGGCTTCACATATAAATCTAGGAAGCGTCTAGATACACCTGGTGATTGAAATGCTTACCATGGTGGATGCTGCCCTGAGTGACAGGAGGGCATAAGGAGGCCTGTGAATGAGCCTCACAGAACTCCAACACTGAATGGCCAGACTGGCGGATAATTGTCGTTTTAAGAAAAATTTAAAAAGAAAAAATTAGAAGGAGAGAAGGAAAACCAAGAGAATATGTTGCTAACAGAGGGAAGAAAAGAGCATGTGTTTCATAAAGGAGTGGAGTTACCCGTGCCCTCTGCAGGGATCAGGCAAGAGGAGGGGGCAGGTGGTGGCAAGGAGCCAGCTGCTGCTATGTCTGGCTGCCAAGGGGAAGGGAGAGACCAGGGGGCAGCCGCAGGAGGACATGGCATCAAGAAAGGATCTCAAGGCAAGTGTGTTTCAAACCTGGGGGAAGAATCTAGTTGGAAAAAAAAAAGGACTCTGCTAAAGAACACACCCAAATGCAGGTTCCTGAGAAGGCTGAGGGTAAGGGAGGGACTTGGACCTGAAGCACAGTTGGGTAGATGGTGAGAGATGTGTGAGGGCCACTCCTGTCCTTTTGCAGCTGGCTGAAGACTGTGTCCTGCCCTCGGGGCACCTCCAACACCTCCCCTGGTTCTTCCCCCCCATCCCAATTCATTCATGACACTCCCCTCCACCCCCTCTGACTGTAGGCTCCTGAAGTGCAGGAACCATGACACACATTACTTTGTAAGATCTTTAACACACAAGGACCTCATCTTGGCCACAGTGTCAAGATATTTGTGTGTGTGTGTGTGTGTGTGTGTGTGTGTGTGTGTGTGTGTTCGTTCAATCACTGTGTGGCTCAACAAATAGAACAGTCTGTGGTGGTGTGGGGAAGAAATGGGTGCGAAGGTAAGGGATCCAATTTTTCTTTCATTTCCTTTGTTTTCCAGGACACAGAATTATCTAAACCTATGAATTCCCTTCCTCATCCCATCCAGTATTGAGATCCAGAGACCGAGTCTGTTCTTTCCACTTCTCCAGCAATCACACCGCTAACTCCAGGCTCTCAGCAGTGAAGATCACATCAGGGCACAAAGTCTCTGATTTGTTTCTGAGCCACCCGTGTGGATGTGTATTCCTCTCCTCCTCTCCTTTCCTTCTGTGGACTCTTCTGTTTTTTCCTCATCTGTTACTTCTAATTGCTTCTGAAAATAAGTCTAATTTCTCCCTGGGACTGACTAGTACAGTTTTCCCCAGAATGGGCTTCCTTAAAGTACAGAAATCTCAGATTTTCCATTGAAGCCACACATCTATAACACAGAAGAGTGAAGGCTGCAAGTTGTGGGACAGGTCTTTTGTGAAATCTTAGAATAAGATTTACTTTCTTATGCTTGTTTTTTAAAAATTTTTTTTTAAATTTTATTTATTTATGATAGTCACAGAGAGAGAGAGAGAGAGAGAGGGAGGCAGAGACACAGGCAGAGGGAGAAGCAGGCTCCATGCAGGGAGCCCGACGTGGGATTCGATCCCGGGTCTCCAGGATCGTGCCCTGGGCCAAAGGCAGGCGCCAAACCGCTGCACTACCCAGGGATCCCTCTTATGCTTGTTTATTGGTTAACTTTGCAACCATTTATAAAGCAACTGATGCAGAGTGCAAGAGGAATAAACCCACATTTAAAATTCAGAACTGCTACATGGTATGAACAATACATGGTACAAAGGAAATGTGCCCAGGGTGCGCGACAGGATGAGCCTCTGAGGAAGGCACATACCATCTTCTTCCTTGGGACGCTGACTGCCTCTCAGTCTCAGGTACCAGGCTGGCCCCTCTTCCCTTCAATAAGGAGGTCAGTCCCAGGCTCTCTTAGTGTTCTGTTTTACACTAAGTTTTGTAGAGAAAGAAAAAAGTGCATGCAAATGTCACTGATGAGTCCTTATACCGGGCAGATAGAGGAAAGCTTTAACACAGTTCAAAGGAATAGTCTGGCCAAGTTGATTTTTGTCCATCTGTCTTCCTTGTCTTGGTGACAAGGATAAGCATCCTAGGCATCTGCTACACTTCTTTCCTCCCGACATAAAAATAAATATGACTGTCTGGTGAACAATTCCAACACCGTGCTAGGTCCAGGCACACAATATAAAATCATTCATCATTTGCTCTATGTCTGTGCAGTATCCTCCAACATTGCACAGCCTGGGGTTTAGAGCACAAGCTGTTTACCACAGCTGCCCTCTCTAATAAGAAGACATTTTATCTACAACAATAACAAGGCACACTTTTTGTACTTCAGCAAATACCTATTTTTTGTAACTAATTTGTTACTAAGAAAGTGAAGTGAAGACTTTGATCTGTGCTCCTCCCTCCCCCACAGTCCTGCTGATAACATCCCGGATCCTTTCGAAGAACACATTGGTGGAACCTATGCTAACTGGCACAGTGCTCTCTGGCAAACCAGACTGAACCCCAGCCTCACCTGGTTATAAAATCCATAAAGAGTAAATGCCGAGACACATTCTTCCTTTGCCTAACAGACTAGCCTAGAGCAGCAGAGCAGGGCAGGGTGAGGAGTGTCAGAGGCCACGCGAGGTAAGGACAGTTGGTACCCAACATCCTGGCATCACATGTTTAAGTCTGACCAGGGTACAGACGGCATCTGTGCTAGGTGACAGCCTGGCACAAAGCCTGAAGCTGAGGCAGGTGAGGAAGGCCAATGTCCATAAGTACAAGTTAGCAAATCCAGGGGAGTTTCACATGGGCCAACCTTCCTGCTTTCTGTAATTCGTCACCTTTTTGACTCTACTAAGCTCTCACTTATCCCCCGTTCCTATTCCCTTGTCCTCCCTTTAAAATGTCCCTCACCTCTGATGAATAAAAATTTGAGTTAGGATCCCTCCAGACTCGTTTCCCTATTGCAACAGTACATTACTCATTAAAATCTGTCCTTACCACTTTAAATAGCGTCTAGCTTTGTTTATCTTGGATCTTAGTGTAAGATGTCAGCACCCAAGAGAAATGAGGAGGGTTTCCATGATCTAGGAGGGGTGTCTCAGAATAGGGTGTTGGAGCATGGGTAAGAAAGCAGGGAAAAATATACCATGAGGAAAAAATGGTCACTTCAATAAGTGGTGCTGAGAAAACTGGATAGTTCCAGGCAAAACAATGAAACTGCACCACTTTCTCATATCATACACAAAATAAATTCAAAATAAAGACTTAAATATAAGATCCGAAACCATAAAACTCCTAGAAAAAAGAAAAACAGGCAATAAGCTCTCTGATATTGGTCTTAGCAGTATTTTTTTGGATCCATCTCCCCAGGCAAGGGAAACAAAAGCAAAAATAAATAGGATGACATCAAACTAAAAATCTTTTGCACAGTAAAGGAAATCACTGACATAACAAAAAGGCAACCTACTGAATAGGAGAAGATATTCACAAATGACATATCTGATAAGAAGTTAACACCCAAAATACATGATGAACTCCTACAACTCAACTCAGTAGTTTTTTTTTTTTAAACTACCATTCAGTTAAAAAACAGAGGATTGGAATAGACATTTTTCCAAAGAACACATCCAGATGGCCAACAGACAGGTGAAAAGATGCTTAATATCACCATGAAAATACAAATCAAAACTACAGTGAGGTATTACCTCATAACTGTCAAAATGGCTATGATCAAAAAGATAAGAAACAAGTGTTGACAAGAATGTGGATGGGAAAAAACCTTCATGCACTGTTGGTGGGATTGCAAATTGGTGCCACTACTATGGAAAACAGTACAGAAATTCTTCAGAAAGTTAAAAATAGAACTATCAAATTATGTAAAGAATTTACATGAAAATAAACTACCAACCAACTTATTAGAGTAAAAGTAGAGCATATGCATTTAAAGCCATAAAGAATAAAGAAATACTAGTGTTAACCCATTATGTAAGCTTGTTCTGGAAATTCTAAGGGCCATGAGTCAAGAGGGGAAAGAAAGAGATATCAAAAGGGAGGAAAGAAAAGTATTATTATTATTATTTGCAAGTGATACGATTATTTACCTAGAAACCAGAGAATCAATTCCCAAACCACCTTAACAAGATAGGTTGGCCACAGTTACATTTTTCAGTGAAAAAATAAATATATTCAAACAATACCTCCCCTGTATCCCAGCCCAAATGTGTAAGAAAAATACAATAAATGAAAATAATATTCAGGATATATAAATTAAATTTTATAAGAAATGTATACTAAACACATGAAGCAAATTGGAGCACTGGACTCAAGAAAAACTGAATCCACGTTCAGCATGCAGGGATGGGGTCTTACTATGTTCTCTTAAGGGAGATTGAACTAGTACAGGGATCTTAGTTTCTCCCAAATAGATTTAGTGCAATCTAACGTGATTAAATTACAATGTGGTGCAGTTTAATACTGCAGTTAAATCTTTATGAAAATAGTCCAGTGAGGGGTGCCTGGGAGCCTTACTCAGTTTAGCGTCTGCTGTTGGCTCAGTTCATGATCTCAGGGTCTTGGGATAGAGCCCGCCCTGCATCAGGCTCCCCGCTCAGTGGAGAGCCTGCTTCCCCCCTCCCTCTGCCTCTTCCCCCACTTTTGCTCTATCTCTATCTCAAGTAAATAAATAAAATATTTTTTAAAATAGCCAAAAGATTATAAACTTTCCTGGGATAATAAACAGCTGATATTACACAGTATCATCTTCAAAAATAAAGATGATAAAGATTGTCTGATTAGCCTGATACATACATTAAAAATGTAGACCAATCAATATAGTACATAACAATAGATATTAAACTCTATATTAAACCCAGAAACATAAATATATTGGCGTTTGTTTTACCAAATGGTATTTTATTTGTTTTAAAGATTTTATTTACTTGAGATAGTTAAAGAGCACACACAAGCAGGGGAGTTGCAAAGGGAGAGAGAGAGAAGCAGACTCCCCACTGAGCAGGGTGCCCTATAGGGGGCTTGATCCCAGGACCCTGAGATCATGACCTGAGCAGAAGGCAGAAGCTTAACCCACTGAGCCACTCAAGTGCCCTGGAAGGTTGGTATTTTAAATCAGAGGAACAAATGTGAAGTATTCAAAAAAAGATGATGTTGGGGCACCTGGGTGGCTGAGTGGTTGAGCATCTGCCTTTAGCTCAGGTGGTCCTGGGATCTAGCCGCACATCAGGCTCCCCACAGGGAGCCTGCTTCTCCTTCTGCCTCTTTCTCTGTGTCTCTCATGAATAAATAAATAAACAGATAAATAAATAAATAAATAAATAAATAAATAAATAAATAAATAAATAAATAAATAGATAAATAAATCTTAAAAAAATATGATGTTGGTAAAACTCATTCACTTGGAAAACAAATCCAAATTCCTACTAAGCTGTTCATTAACCATCTGTAAGTGATGTAAAGACAATAAAGATACCATGAATTTTCATGAACTCCTCTCTCTCCTTTTCTGACCCTGTGGGCTCACAGCTTCTTGATGGTGGCAAGACAAAGGACTGCCCTATTTAATTGGCTGACACAGCCTATTTATAAAGCTTGTGGGAGCAAGCAAGTAATACATGCAAGTGTGGAATCACCGTATTGTACACCTGAAACTTATATAACCTCTGTGTTCACGATACTAGAATTAAAATTTAAAAAATATAAATAAATAAATGTTAAAAATAAAATAACAAGCTTGAAGGAGATTAAACTCTGCCAACAGTCCTTGGTAACCTCCTGGCTAATTGGCCAGGTAGCTGTGATAATTTCAGAGGGAGAAGCCACAGGACCCAGTCCACACCTGGGTGCAATGACCCAGTCCACTCTAGGGTGCGCTGGGGAGGAGAACCTTTTCTGTCACTCCCGTGGTTTCCTTCTGTCTCCAGCTTCAGAGAGAGCTGCAGAACTGGACAGTCTATTTCTCTTTACAGGCCCAAACGCATTCACCTAAATCTATCAGTTCAATAAAATCATTTATATAAACAAAATATAACATGCAAAAATTTTAAAGATTGGAGGCCCACGTAACTATACCTTTTCACTTAAAAACCCTCTATTCAAGTTTTGTTTTGTTATGTAAACTACTGGACAGCCTTACTGACTGGTTTACCCACAGTAAAGAGATTACTAGAGGAAGTCCTATAGGAAAAATCTTACTGTAGGAATTCCCCACCCCACACCCACCTCTAAAATAGGCAACTGATCAGATACAGAAAAACAGGAAAACGAGGGAACTACCTCATGCCAGTATATACAAGGGCTGTTTGCTAAATTCCAGACAAGGAGGATCCAGAGAAAAGGTGACACTGGGATCAACTCACAACCTCCTCCGGACTCCGGAGCTCCACTCCTTCCTGTGGGGAAGCAGGAGGGGTCTGCCGCAGGCTGGGGGCTGCAAGGCGTTGCCAGGCACCTAGGGACCCCACAGATCCTGGCTCTCCGCAATTATGGGGGCCCAAGCCCTTTAGCTTACCTTGGCTCTGGGCCGGAGGAGAGACACGTGACTATGACTCAGCCCTTTCCAATTCCCACCCTCCACCCCAGCTTCTGCAATCAAGATGCAAAGTTGAGACTGACCCATTTTGCAGCAACAACGTGTCAGTCTGTGCCCGGGAAACACCGCTGATTGTGCAAACTGTCTGGGCGCTGCCTACTGGCCCCAGCTCTGAAGATGCAGGCTGTGGAAGAGGCCTCCCATTCTCTTCTCTACCACGGGAGACAGCTCCAGAGAGGCCCCGACACCTGTGCCAGGTCCCCACACGGGCTGTCGCCTGCGCCGAGGTGCGCCCGGCGGGTTTCAAGCTCCCAGCCCTACAGAGCCAATCTGATGGAGGATGTAAGGGCGACCACAGTAAACAGGAGACAAATCGCATCCGTTCGGTGTATGGGCAGTTAGAAGCTCAGGCAGGCTCCCTCCCAGCAGGAGAAAAGTTATTAGAAAAGTCCAGTGCATGAGATATTTTGGAAGGGAAAAGAAGGCAGCAAAATATTGCATACTAGGGATGCCTGGGTGGCTCCGTGGTTGAACAGGTGGCACAGTGGTTGGAACGGCTGCCTTTGCCTCAGGTCCTGGGATGGAGTCCCATATCCGGCTCCCCACAGAGAGCTTGCTTCTCCCTCTGCCTGTGTCTCTGCCTCTCTCTGTGTGTCTCTCATGAATAAATACATAAATAAATAAATCTTTAAAAAAATATTGCATGCTACTGAAAAGTGGACACATTTTCGAAGAAGATTTAATCGGAACGTAGAAGCATAACCAGCATTTAAAATACACCACAAGCCAGAATTAACTAGTGGGGGGCAAGGGGTCAGAAGCAAGAGGGCCACAAAATAGGGAAGATACTGTTTGAAGGGGATATAAAATCAAATGACAGAAAATGAAGTCAGAAGACAGAAATTGTAAGGGTAACAAATACCATTGGATTAAACTCCTCTCTACAAAGGAGGCAGGTCTCAGAGTGGGTGAAATATTGGTAAGAAACACATGTAAAGTGAAATGACTCAGAAAGGTAGAATTTAAAGGTGATGGAACTCTGTTCCAGAATCAGGAGCAGATGCACACACACAGAAGTAGGAATCATAAAATGGAAAAGGCCAATTTTGCAAAATAAAAATTAGATTTCCAGTTAAGATATATATATCCAAATCTTTTTGATATTGTATAAGATAACCTCAGGGTGTTTAATAGTAACTGCTTGGTGTAAACAGAAATTAATAGAAATTATAATGGAAAACTTAAGTCTAATTTTTAGATTTTAGAAGGTCAATATATAATCCAAATAAGATTTATAAGGTCCAAATAAAGTAATATGATCACTACCATAGTTCTGCCCAACTCTGAACCTTGGCTATAGAGGCCAAATCTTTGCTAATTCTTGTGGAATATTTCCTAGTGCTGTTAGGTGCTTATTCATAAGGACAACCTCATTAATCTCTATGTTAAAATATTTGTATGCCCTCCCATATTTTTCAGCTGCTGGTTATATTTCATTCACTTACACAAAATTTAGTAACTAAGACACATTTAATTCCAGATCCAGAATTTTGTCATTTCTAATCAGCAATCTTGGGTAAATGCATTTTGATGAATTTTTGTGATGCCCCATTATGGAAATTCCTACTCTTGGCAATACAGAGTCAATTTAATTTTTGATTGATATGATCAGATTTCCCTCCATCCATCACTTGGGTCATTCCTTTCAATAAATTTTCCTAACTAGTTATTATTGTTTAACGTGAAAAAGTTTTTTTTTTCTGGGGTCAGGAATGGTTGGTCAGGAAACTTACTGCATGTGTTTACTGTATGAGACTTTCCATTCAACCCACTTTGGTTTTCTAGGTAAGTGATCATGTCATTCACCCATAATGCTAATTTTACACTTTTCCAGAGTTGATTTTTTGCTTTTTCTCTCTCTACTCAGTCTTCTTTAGTGAAAATTCCACTGCATCTTGCATGGATAAAATACCAACCCATGCACTGACCCAGCGCATTCGCCCATAAATCCCACCTTCTCTTGACTCCAATGAATAAATTCTAGGTTATATTCTAGGCAAACCTCTGCTCTGGGCTTGGGTTTCATCCCCTCTGGATGATTCCAATACCTTCATTCAGCACCCGTGCTATCTCTCCTGCGTCAGGAAATTACTCTATTGAATTATACCATCAAATTACACACTATTGCACCTAATTCTAACACAGGCAACAAACAATCCACATTCCCCTATAGATCCTGTGCCATTTATCTGATCTCTTATTCTTGCCTTCTCCCATCTCCTCAGCTCACACTCCCTCTGTCCCTCCTTCCCTTCATTCCTTCCTTTCTCCTTCCCTAGAAAACAGAGAGAAAACTGCCCAAAACAAACATGTAACTCAGTGAATTGCTCTTCTAATCACTGCCATTGGCATGAAAAGTAGAATATTTCTAGAACCTCAGAAGTTTTCCATGTGGTCTACCCTAAGCATGACATCTTCCTCTCTTTGAAAGTAACCACTACTTGGACATTGAGAACCATGTCTTTTCTGCATGGCTCTACAGATTTATCAACCACATATGTGTCCCCCTCCCCTTTCCTGGTGTAGTTTTGCCAGTTTTAAAAAATTTAATGTTTTTAAGTCTCTTTTAATCTAGAGGCTCCTGTTCTGTCCTTTTTCTCTTGCTTAATAACTTACTTGTTGAAAAATTTAGGTCCTTTGACCTGTAAAATTCCCACAGTTTAGATTTGCTGATGACATCCTTAGGATTTAGTTCAATTCAACGTGTTCTGCATTCTGTAGTCTCTGCATTTCTCACAAAACAGTAGCTATCTCTAAAGGCTTGATTGTACTCAGTTGGTGTGTGTAGCAAGACCTGGGTGGTGGTGTGTTTGTGTTCTTTCATCAGGATGTATAAAATGTGTCTGTATCTCTCTGTGTGATGTTAATAGCTATTGATGCATGAAACCTGGATCCTTTCATTCCCTAGAACTTGTAAACTGAGGATATTCTACGTATATCAATTCTTATTTATGTATTAGCTGAAATAATTCTATAAGAAACAGGTCTATTTATTTACTCCTGACAGAGTCTAGAGAAGAAAGGCACAATATCAGATTCTCTTCTGAACTTTAATGGACCTTTTGTCTCTGTCATTCATTCTAGTCAGGGTAAAAATCCATTGGTAAATTCTCAGACCTTGTGCACTTTAATCCCTTGGTAGCATTTGCCAGGGGTGCTTGGGCCCACCTTTTTCACTTCTCTTCTGAGATGCCACATGCTTTGGCTGTTCTTCCTGCTCCATCGAGGGCCCTTCCCATCCCCTCGAAAGCTTTCCTGTGTCTTTCCAAAAATCTCTATCCCGGCCCCACTCTCTCCCCAGAATCTCAGAGCAGCACCTCCTCTGGGACGCACCCACCTCCCTGTCAGGATCCCAGAGAGTTTCAGACATTCCGTGGCCCCCTTCATCCCCCAAACCCAAACTCCTTAGCAGCACCGTGGTTTGCTCAGGGGTCACCCTCAACCCCACACTCTCTAGCACCCCCAGTTGCAAAATCTGACCTCAGGCTGATCACTTCTTACCTTCAGAGGCGTGTGTGCTCTTGATTGCCTTTAGCCCAGTCCTGAATATCTGCTTTTCCAAATATGAGACAGAAAAGTAGGCATAACACGTCAATGACTGCCATCAGGATGAAAATTTTAAACCAGGCAGATTCCGGATCCTGAGGGATTATAGTGCAAAGTGATTGTAAATTAGCAGTCTTGAGGTACTTTGCAACACTTCCAATATAATATTCAAACTAGTCTAGGCATTTAACAGACATGGAAAAATATACTCATAAGGAGAAAAAAAATTGTAATTTCACTCTACAAGGATAATTATTATTTATCTCTCTACTTTTTAAAAGATTTTATTTATTTATTTATTTATTTATTTATTTATTTATTTATTTATTTATTTATTTATGAGAGAGTGAGCAGGGGAGGAGCAGAGGGAGAGGGACAAGCAGAAGCCCAGGCTGGGATTCAATCTCACCACCCATAGATCATGACCTGAGCCAAAACCAAGTCAGACCTTTAACCGACTGAGTTACCCAGGTGCTCCCTATCTTTCTACTTCTTGATTTATGTCTATGTACATGTAACTTTTGTAGAAAAATGATGTAACTATGTACATAGTGCTTAAGCCAAGAATGTATATGCTTTTTATTGAGAAATTTATTATAAACATGTTTGCATATCAAGAAATATTCAACTGTATCATAACCTTTACTGAGTGATTAGTAATCCAGAGTTTAGATTTATAAAATTTATAAAACATCCCTTATTTCTTTATATTTGTTTTTCACTTTTTGCTGCTATAAATCTGAGTATCTCAGTAGTTCATTATATGCCCATCAATGCTTTTGTTTGTTTGTTTTCATCATTGCTTTTGAATAAAATTTATCAAATACCTTTTCCTTAATTATAACATTTTTATAATTAAAAATTATGTTAATTATGTTAAAATTATAACATTTTAAGCCTATTAATCTGATCAGTTTCATTAATAGATTTTATAATATTGAGCTACTTTTACTTTCATAGAAAATGGCTTAGTTCATTATGGTGTCATAGGCATATATTTTAATATGCTGGTGGATTCTATGTACAGGTAATTTATTTCATTTTTGCATCTATATTCAAAGATGACATTGAATTTTAATTATGTTTGAGATTTGTTTTACTATTTTGCCTTTTACCTTTTTTATCAGCCAAGATTAAATTTTATATAGTTAAATGTACAATGCATCCTGATGGGATTTAGGTGTCTGGTGCCAAGCTTTTGAAGGATGTCCAACCCAAAGTTTATATAATTATTAAGTCCTATTTTACTTTAGTATTTTCATAGTTTCCTTTCTTCATTTACATTTTTAATCATCTAGAATTAATTTTGTTGTCAGATATAAAAACAGACTATAATTGTATTTTTCTATAAGCTGGCTTCCCACTATGTTTTGTGTTTTTTTTTAAATAAAGCCATTGTCTTTGGTTTGAAATGAAACTTTATCATTTAGAATGTGTTTTTTTCAGGACTTGACCAAATCATTATCAGTCTTATTTAAAATATAATTAAGAGTAGGGTTGCTGGGTGGCTCAGTCAGTTAAGCATCTGACTGATTGATTTCTGCTCAGGTCATGATCTCAGCCTCCCAAATGGCTCTGTGCCTGGTGTGGAGCCTGCCTAAGATTCTCTCTCTCCCTCTCCCTCTGCCCCTTCCCACTCTAACTTGCATGCTCTCTCTCTCTCTTTCACTCAAAAAAATTTAAATTAAAGTCAGCAAAATAAAATATAATTAAGAGTAGACATTTACAAAATAAAACTATTTGTTTCCTTCAGATGAGACATTGAACATATGTAATTATAGTGATTTCTCTAATTAAAGCATGCCAAGCTTGACAGGTCATTGGCAAACAGAAAGTCAGGAAAAGGACCGAGATGTGCCCAGAAATTTAATGATAGATAATAAAGTTTCAATAATTTTCAGTTAATAGAATTCACTGTGATTTGGACCTGAAGTCCAAAATATGATATGACTCCCTCTTCATGTAGTTTCACTGATTTTGCTTTCATAGGTGTGTGGTTTTCTTCATTTGGATTTTGCATGATTTTCAGTGTTTTTTTTCCCATAGGTACTTTGTAATATTGGTTGATACTGGGCTTTAGGGCAGCCCCGGTGGTGCAGTGGTTTAGCGCCGCCTGCAGCCCAGGGTGTGATCCTGGAGACCTGGGATGGAGTCCCACATCGGGCTCCCTGCATGGAGCCTTCTGTGTCTTCTCCCTCTGCCTGTGTTTCTGCCTCTCTCTCTCTCTCTGAATAAATAAATAAAACCTTTAAAAAAATAGAGTTTCAAAAAAAAAGATACTGGGCTTTAGACTTTTATACAATATAATATCTAACTTTGAATTCTACCCTCTTCCAGGACAGTCTTTTTTTGCATATAATGTTATTTTGTTCTTTTGCATTTACATCATATATACCTGTGACTTACTTTTCTTGACCAATTGCATTTGCTAGCATTTCAGAATGCTGTATAATAAGACAGCATTTAGAAGGGTATGCACATAATGTTATAAATAGCTGTTATGGTTGAATACATGAACATCTGGTACTTGCATGCAGATCTGATTTGGTAAGCCCTCATAAGGTTTTGGTGTCATTTTGGCCATTTATAGCTGGATACACCAAGACTTAGAGTAAGAAGTGTTTCCAAGTGGCATAGCTTTTAAGTAGCTGAGTTGAGATTTGAATACTCACTGTAGATTTTTTTTTCACTGTAGATATTTTTAGGAATATGAATACCTTTGTTCATCCAGTTTTCCCAAACTTTTAGCATAGAGTTGTTCTTAATATTCTTAGCTTTTAATCTATAGTGTCTCTCCAAAAATTTCTCCTTTCTTATTTGGTATTTCCAACATTTGAATCTGTCTCTTGTATCCCACTCCAGAAAGATTGTCTATCTAATTAATCTTTTCAAATTACCAATTTTTAAAAATGTTTTTTCTTAATTTTTATTTATTTATGATAGTCACACACACACACACACACAGAGAGAGGCAGAGACATAGGCAGAGGGAGAAGCAGGCCCCATGCACCGGGAGCCTGACGTGGGATTCGATCCCAGGTCTCCAGGATTGCGCCCTGGACCAAAGGCAGGCGCTAAACCGCTGCGCCACCCAGGGATCCCCAAATTATCAATTTTAAGTTTTGTGTTTCTTCTCTACTGTTTTATTAACTGTAGAATTTATTTCTTTTACCCTTATTGCTTTAATCTTTCTTATTATTTGGGTTTGCCCTGTTTTTCCCCCCGAGCTCTAGAGTTGAATGCTTAGCTTATTTATTTTTGATTGGCTTTCTTGTGTTTTCTTTTAGAAATATATCAAGTTATAAATTACCCCTATAAATGTCCAATATATTTCCACATGTAACAATTTCACTGTCCTTTACTTCTAAGTGTTAGTGAATTCTCTTTTTGATGTTCTTTTAAAACTAAAAATTACTTACTGTCATGTTGTTCAGTTTATAAACATATGTGATCTTTTTAGAAATCCTATTGGTAGTAGTTTCTAATGTTATTGTACTTTTGTTTTCTATAGAATATTTATCCTTTGAAGTCTGATTTGCCATCTATTCTCAGTGGAAGAACTGAGCCAAATCACTGAGTTTGACAATACAGGCAACTGACAGTCTAAAATGTTATTTCTTACTTTCAAAATATGAGTGGATTTTTCTATTTATCTATTCTATCTTTGATTTCCATCATAATTTAATTGTGATTGGAGGACATATTTTGTCTAATTACAGTCCTGTTACAATTTCTAGGATTTACATAATGGCACAGTATATAGTCAATTTTTGTAAATGTTCAAGGACATTTATATACCTTGAAAGGAATGAGGATTCTGTAGTTGTTCAGTGTGGCATTCCATATATGTCAGTTAGGCCAAGCATGTTAATTGTGTTGTTCAACTCTTTTATATTTTTACAGATTTTTTTTCTCCTTGCTGCAATAATTACTATAAGTGGTATATTAAAATTTCTCACTATCTTTGTATCTTTTAATGGCAGAGACTTGGTTTTTTTGGTTACACTAGGGTGCACAGCAGGTTGGCTAGGAGCTATGCTTTACATCTCTTCATCCCCAGATCCAGGATGGTAGAGATACATTCACCATTCTGATTGTTACCAGTCGCTGTGTCAGAGGGAGAGAATGGCCTTCTGATTCTTAACACTTCTTTTCAGAATTAACATACATAACTTCTTCTCATACATCATTGGCCAAAATAACTTGCACGAATACATTTAACTTCATGGAAGTGGGAAAATGCCAAGAGAAGAACCAGAAAAAAAAAATTATTGTTGCAATAATTAGCTCCTAGTCTACTCTTTTCATCACCAAATATTTGATTCACTCACTTTACTCCACACAGAACACACTAATCAGAGGAGACCACTCCAAAGCCTACCAGTCCCTACATTCACTTCAGGACCTCATCAAAGAACACTCAAGCGCACACCGAGAGGTTGCTCTCAAAATGTCCACCTAGCAGAGTGCCAGCGTTACTGTAAACCAGTAGCTACTGTTTGTCTCCTAATCTTATTTTTATGAAAGGAAGTATTTATGACGGCTGATGGATGGTTGTGCTGCACTTTGCACCGGATGCCACAACTAGGTGGGACTCTGGGTTTATGTTGCCTTCTTTCTGGAGAAAGTGAAATTTTTACACTTGTGCAAAGGAGAATGAACTGAATGTTTGGTGACTGGAAGAGTGAACCCATGTGACATTTTTGGTCCTCCTTCCTGGTACACGATACAACTGTACTTCACAGCCCCCCTGAAGTCAAGGTTAGTCGGGTTTGATTTGGACAATGATGTAAAGCATGTGCTTGGTTATCCTTTGTTGTGTGCAGGAGATTGCACTTGAAGAAAACTATTTCTGATGATGGTTGGGTGGGTGAAGCCTCTCCCCCCAAGTGGTATTTTTGCTTCCAGATTCATCTGCGACTCTAGCAAATCATAACCCCCTTAAGTAAGGTTGGATATTTTCTGGTCTGCCCAGATGACTCAAAGCAGCCTGTAAGGACTGCTTTATTTCTGTTCACCTTTACTCCTTCCATGCAACACTTGGAAGGTCTCAGACTCAAATAAGAATTAGTTTATCAGGGTCCTCATCCTTGGTAGACCCTCAAAAGTAACCAAAAAATCTGTTTTCCTCATCCCAGTACAAAATATCCTGTAGTCCTTGGCATAATCCTTTCAGTTCCTGACTTCTTCCAGATGTTGCCTGTTAAAGTTTTCCATGTCCCGGGTTCTCTGAGGCTCTTCTCTGAAGACTCTTTATATTTTCCCAACCTTTTAAATTGCCAGGGGTGCCTCAGCAGTTTGGTGCCTGCCTTGGGCCCAGGGCATGATCCTGGAGTTCTGGGATCGGGTCCTGCATCGGGCTCCTTGCATGTAGCCTGCTTCTCTCTCTGCCTGTGTCTCTGCCTCTCATGAATAAATAAATAAAATTTTTAAAAAAAATAAAAATAAATTGCCTTTCCTAAGAGAATCAACCCAAATTACTTACTGTCATTAATGGAATCAGAAATCTCACTAATTAGCTATATTTCATCCGAAATTTTTTATTTCAGTTTTTATATTTTTAATTGCCAGGGGTTAGATTTAGTTCTTTGTCAAATCTTGTGCTTATTTATATTTTCAGTGCTCTCTTTTGCTTCTTTATACATATGCATTGATTTCCAGTGTCTCTGAGGGCCTGATTCCAAGGTTATTTTTTATTCTTCTTTCACAAGACACCTTATTTCTTTACATGTTTGGTGATTTTTGATTGATTATAAAATCATTTTCAATAAACCCTAACACATGAGAAAATCATGGAGTATGAATTTAGAGTGCATTTCTCCAAAAAAATTTTACTTGCTTCCACTAGGCATCTGGGGACTACTTGAAATTCAATGCTTGGCTTATGGCATTTGAAACAGAGTTTGAATTTGGGCCTCAAACCCTTGTGAAAATTGGTTTATTGTTCCAGATGTCCAGAGGAGTCTTTATTCAGTTTTTCCATTCCCGTTGAAGCTGAGCCTGAGAAACAAGTTTCCTTACTGGACAGAGACATCTGGGCAGACACAACTTTGAACTGTTATGAAGCCATTGTTTCCTCCCACCTTTTGGAAGTCAGCAGAGAAGTTAAGTTAGCTCACCTAACAACTTTTGGAGGTCTACTCAGCATATCCAAGTGAGTTAAATGGAAGAACAGGCTGAGTGGGCTCTATACTCGGGGAGAAAACAGCTTGGTTTCCTGGAATTCTGTTTTTCTATTGAGACCACTTTTCTGACCAAGGAGTTTCCATAGTGCTATTTCCTGCCTTTCTGATACCATAAGTACATAGATCATGATGGTGGAGAGTTCTTCTTTTTGGGAAATTTGACTATGGTGAATGCAAACCATCTCTCCTTGGTCCATGTCATGGGATAACATGACACCTTAGGATTCTACTACTTCTCACCTTAGGATTTTCCTCCAAATAAACGAAGCTTGTAAATAAGCTATATGGTACTAGTAATGTGAAGGTATAGTTCTTTGTGATTATAGATTTATGCCAGTGCTTCCAGTCTGACTTTTTTTTTTAAAGAATGGTTTTGGATAGTCTCTCTTATTCTTGGTTCGTTCATCATAGCTGAAGCTACAGATCAACTAGCAAGGGTTACTGAACCAAGGCAACCCAAAGCTTCAATGGGCATTGACCTCTCTGGGATCAAGTTCTTCCTTCATTTTCCTTTTTCTTTTTCTTTTTTTTTTTTAAGATTTTATTTATTTATTCATGAGAGACACACACACACACACAGAGAGAGAGAGAGAGAGAGGCGCAGAGACACAGGCAGAAGGAGAAGCAGGCTCCATGCAGGGAGCCTAATGTGGGACTCAATTCTGGGTCTCCAGGATCATGCCCTGGGCTGAAGGCAGCACTGAACTGCTGAGCCAACTGCGTGGCCCCCTTCATTTTTCATCTCTGAAATTTTTTCTCTTACATCTTTTTTCAAGATCAGGTACGCATTGAAAATGATTATTTAAATTTCATAGAGCATTTTAGCATTCTTAAGAAGATTTCAGGTAACCTTGTCCCCCACACTTATAGAAACACAAGTTGGCCTTTATGGAGGGAATTCTTTTGATCTCTAATTCTATTTGCTCCTGATTTTTCATTCCTTTTCTAACAAAACTGAATCTTGTTATTTATATTGCCATTCACTCAGCCAAATTCCTGTTTGGATCCAGGCACACATTCATTGTTAAAAATCACACAGGTCTATTTCTGTTCCCATGACCAATGACTAAAATGTTCCCAGCACAACTAATTGACATCCAATGAGAAAGAAATCATATTATATATAGATTCAGAGGGATGCCTGATCTGACCACGTTTAATGTGAGAGAAATGTCATTACTCACCTCCTACTGATGTCACTTCCACAATTGTTTGCGTATATATTACCTTCTTTCTCTGTATAAGATATGAGAAAAGTAACCACCCGTGTCTGGATGCTCCTTACCTGATTAAGGATCACTCCACACAGAGTAGAAGAAATTAGTCTTCCTATCATCCCAATTACAGCTGTAACTCCTTTAAGGAATCCGTAAAAACTATGTAAAAAAGACAGATGTAAAGTCATACAAATGCTACAGGAGAATTTAACCTAATGAAATGAGAAGTAAGAGAGATATATTTTGATTTCCTGAATTTTTCATTCCTGTTTTTCAAATTTCATTAAAATATCAAAAAACTATGTGGATATAAGTAACTTTCTGGTTGCAGTACAAAGTCAGGAAGGTTGGCTTTCACAGTAAAAACTATTAAGAGATTGAGAAAGTGAGCAAGATTAGAAAATCTCTGAATACAATTGAGAAATTCCGAAAGTGATGCTTATTGGTGATGGGAACTGATTTAAGGTTAACACAAAATCAAAGGACTCTGTTCACCTGGTCTATGCCCACGGTCCCAGAGCTACTGGCCCCAGCGATTGCTCCCAATGTTCAGATGAGGAAGCCAGAAGCTTAGTTTCCAAGCAACTGTGCTTGGCCAGTCCTGGGTACCCAAACCTAGTTAAGCAGAAAGTGAACTACAAAAGCAGGGAAGTCACAGAGAATGATTGATAGAGTAGGGGTCAAATCCATCAGTCATCGAGAACGAGGAAGTGCCTTTTGGAGAGCAGAATCAGTTGGTCTTACTAAGAAAGTAGTTCTCTCCAGGGTGGGGAGTATTTGTCTTTCTTGTTCAATAAATTTCACCATTAAAAGTTCTATGTTTTCTTTTCTTCTGTTTTGTGAGAGTGAGGGTTTTCTGGTTGTTTTGCTCTGTGCATTTTATTTCCTAGGTCTATTTTATTCCTATTCTGCTATTGAATATGGGAGGGAATATATAGTTTATCTATTAGTTTCTCTGTCCCTTAATCAGAGGGGCATCACACAGGGGCTGAGAGTCCTTGCATGTTGGGGTGTATGCAGTCACTGGATGGAAATTGGATTTGCTTTTTACGGGGAGCTGAAGAGTGTGTTCTAATGTATAAAGAAAAACATTTAAGGTTATGAGCAATCATAGGTGCAGATTGGGATCGAAAACACCAATTGTCCCCAGAATTTAGTTACCTGATTAATTTTATCAATAGGACCTCTAGGATTTTTGTGGGAATAGGGCCACTTATGCCTTTTCTAAGCCTTTGTCACATTTATCTTCATGACCCCCTCTCCCTATAAAAATATTAAAAATTATATTTTATAACTCTGTGTGTGTGTATGTGTGTGTTGAGGAACTTTTCAGTTTCTTTTTTTTTAAAATAAATTTATTTTTTATTGGTGTTCAATTTACCAACATACAGAATAACAGCCAGTGCTCATCCCATCAAGTGCCCCCCTCAGTGCCCGTCAGTTTCACCTAAATTGTCAGATTTACTGGCATGAAGTTGTTCATAATATTCTGTTATTTCTTTTTTATATGCTAAGACTTACCATAATGCATGCTTTGTCATTATGGGTATTGATAATTTTTCTCTATTTTTCTTAATCAGTCTTCATTATTTCATTAATTTCCAAAGACCCAACTTTTGACATTGTTGATTTTACTTGTCCTAATCTTCATAATTTGAGGGGTGGGGTTAATTTGCTGCTTTTTTTTCTGGCTACTTGAGATAAGAAACATAATTATTGACTTTAAGACTTAAATGTTTTTCAATATATATGTTCAAAGCTATATATTTCTCTCTAGGCATGATTTTAAAAGCATCCCACATGCTTTGAAATGTCCTATTTCATTATACTTTAAATTATTTTCTAATTCTAATTGTGATTTCTTCTTTAACTTAAACATTACTTTCAAAGCAATGGGGTTATGTATCTTCTGCTTTCAATGGCAACCTTAATTCACTGTGATCAAAGAATATATTCTGAATAATTTCAAGCATTTTAAATCAACTGCAGCTTGCTTTATGACCCAGCATATTATTAATTTCAGTAACTGTCCCATAAGCAACTGAAAATAACTTGAATCCTCTCCTTGTTGATTGTAGCATAGTGTTCCACAGATGTCAATTAAGTCAACTCTGTTAATTTTGTTCTTTATTCCATTATCCTTACTAGCTTTCTGTCTACCTCTATTTTTGCACAAGCCATTGAAAGAGCTTATGAAAGTTTCTTCCTTCATTGTACATTTGTCTAATTCTTTGAGTTCTCTCAATTCATAATGAATATAATTATATTCATTATGATCTATAATGCTCTTATATGATCTATAATCTATAGTATTGGGTTCAAACAGAGACATAATTCTGATATTATGAACTAACATTCTTTATTTCTAATAGTGTTCTATTTTTTTCTGATACTTCCATAGTTATTTCAGGTTTCTATCCTTTAATTGCATCCTTATTGTGTCCTCATGTTTAATGTGTCTCTTATTTGCAGCATAGAGCTGTATTTCCTTTATTATTGAGTTTAACAATCTTGATACTTACTTGAAGTATTTCATATATACTAACATAATTACTAATATACTTGTGATCATCCTTATCTGTTCACTATTTATTTTCTTTTTGACCTCCTCTTTTATATTCCACTTTTTCTTCTAGATTTATCCATTTCATTTTATTTTTCCTTCCATGATATTATTTCACCGTTCTTCTCAAGCATTGAAGATATTATGACAGGTACTCTTTACTTAAGTTTATTACAAATTACAGTTTTACTATTTTTTTGTATGCCAGAGCTTAGAACACATTTAAGATTTTAGTATTTTGACATTTCTGTTTTATCTCCCTGCTGCTCTTTGCATTATTTCATCCTGTATTTTAATTCCTTAATGTAATTTGTTTCAATACGCATTTCAACTCACAGGTTATTCTCTATTGGTTTTATGGATCAATAGCCTCTGATTACACACATATTTACCCTGCCTAATTGCTCTTCAGTCCTTCTAACATATTCAGATTTCAATAGAAATAATTTCTTTATAGTATATCTTTTAGTGAAGATCCACTGGTGACAATTTCTCTGTCTGAAAACATTTTTATTTTGCTTTGATTTTCGAAGAATATTTTCAGTAGGGATAAAATTTGAGATTGACATTTATTTATTTTTTAGCACTTTATAGAGCTCACATCATTATCTTCTGGTTTTCATGGTGTCTGTTGAAAAGTTAGATGTCAAGGTTATTACTACTACTTGAAAGTGGCATGCCTTCTTGCTCTAGTTCTTTTAAGATCTTTTTCTTAGTCTTTAGTTTTCAGCATTCTTACTATATATATAAATTACAATTCACATTTCATCATGGTTGAAATTCACAGAGCTGTACACATGTGTGATTTGCTGTCTTTCATTACTGGATTATTTGGGGCTGTTTTCTCTTAAAATATTGCTTATGTCATGTTTTATCTGTCCTTTCCTTCTGAGACTCAAGTACAGATTTGTTAGCCTTTGCATTTTGTTCCACATTTCCATTATGTTTCTTATGATATGTCTTCCTATTTATCAATCCTAATTTGTTGTCAAACCTGTCTATTAAGATCTTAATTTCAGAAATTTTATTTTTCAGTTCTAGAACTTTCATTTTTTTAAATAGATTCCAGTGCTGATCAAATTCTTTATCTTCTCTTCAGCTTTTCCCCTGGTTTCTTGGGTATATTAATCATAGATATTTCAAAGTTCTTCTTACCTGGTAATTTCAATACCTGTATTGATTGTAGGACAATTTCTAATCCATTTTATGGTTATTTATCACATGGCCCTATCCTTTGTTATGCCTAGTAATTTTTACTAAATTCTGGACATTGTGAGTAAGAACTGTAGGGACTCCAAGAATACGTTATACTTTGCAAGAAAAGATTCACCCTTTTCTCTAATAGATAGATTTGGAAGGGAGGGTGTGATCACTTTAATCTAATTATTGAATGAACTAAGATGAGGTTAGGTTGCAATTGTAATAAGACTCAGTTTACCTGTAGTATCCTCCAGTTCCTTAAGTAATACCCTCCATACTTTTAAATGGAGAGCTCAGTATATCCAGCCAGGTCCCTCCAGGCCTCATTAGATCTTGTCTCCTTAGTATAGACAGTATAGGAAATTCTGTCATGCTTCTTTTATGGTTTTGGTTTAGATTTTTGCCACTTGCTCCAATGAACTTCAGAATTCAACAAATATCTCAAGGAAAAGCTGACTTTATGTGTAAATTTCCTTAACTTTCAATATTGTCACTCCAGCCCTTTGCAACCCAAACACTGGACTAATTTCTCTATCCAGAGCAGCAGGCTTGTCCTAGGGCCAAATCTGGATTACCAGCCTTTTGCTAATTGGCAAATAACCCCAAGGAAAAAGTGATGGGAGTTGTCAGCTGACCTTGGAAGTGCTATCCTCTTGTATTTTTGGTCCTATTAGCCTCTGCTGCTGTCTGATGCCTTGGGTATTTTATTTTATTTTTAAAGATATTTTAAAAAATAGTCTCTATACCCAATGTGGGGCTCAAATGGTGATTTTGAACAACCCCGAGACCAAGAGTCACATGCTCCACCAACTGAGCTAGCCAGGTGCCCTTACTTTTGGTATTTAGCGTTTTCAAATTTCCCTCAGCTGGAATGTCAATCATCCACAGCTTGCCCAATCCTATGTTAAAGTTGAACAGTTTTCTCAAATTTTGCTTTACAGTTGTAAAATGTTAGGTGCACAGAAATTTAGTGTATTATATCTTCTAGTGAATTAAAGTAATTATTAAAAAATTCTTTATCTCTAGTAATGCATCTTGCCTTAAAGTCTACATTGGCTGATCTGTTTTCCTTTATTTTTCTTTTAATCTGTTACATTTTGTTACTACTTTTATTCCCATCCAGATTAACTCAAAATTTGGAAGATATAGTCCTTTTATATTTTATGTTTTTCTGCTGTATTTAATTTAATATGATCGTCATTCTGTTTTTTCCACCTATTTTATGTTCCTTTTTAAACTTCATTTCTTGGATCCTTTTTCATTGTGTTTTTAAAATATCATCTCCTTTACACTTTTACTATCCTTCAATAGTTACCCTAGAGATTAAAACATATATTTTTGACTGAGTTTGGTTTGATATAAATGAATATTTTTACAAATTCTCATTAATGAAAGC